AAAAGCAATTTTTTATTTTAAAAAATAAGAGAAAAAATACAAGTTTTATAATAAAGATTAACATAAGAAGATTTAATTTTATAATTTTTTATTAAAAAATAAATAAAAAGGAGCGTAAAAACTACACATTTTTATATTAAGAAGTCGAAAATAATTTTTAAAAATACACGCATTTTTCTAATAAAAACTCAAAAGAAACAAGAAATCGGAATTAGAATATCTAACTTTAAACCTTTAAACAGAAGTAACTTTGTATTTTTTTTCTGCTATTCTTTCGTCTCCATCTCCTCCTCCTCTTCTTCTCCGTCTTCTTCTTCTTCTTCTCCTTTTACTAGTTTCTTTGGCCATCCTCTTAACTAGAAGGGAAAGTGATGTCGTTTCTTCGATTATCTAACAGACCTTCCCATTCAATACTTTACTACTTCACGTCTAACAAATCTTACTCGAACTACATCATACCACCGAACCTTGTCTTTCTTCTATTATTATTATTCCTCCCCTTTTCGTCCAATTTATTTATTTATTTTTTTTAATCCTCTTCTAACTTCTTATCATCTCGTAGGCCTATACTAAAATATTTTTTCTTACTATCTAATCGGATTTTTCCTTAACTTCTTATAAAAAATAAATAAATAAAGAGGAAAAAAATTATACATCATCAGCTTGGTATTTATTACAGTCCATCGGTTGTCATCTAGGAATAAGTTAATAAAATATTTTTCAATCTGATATACCGTTATCGGGCATCGTTTCGTGGACACCTGTGTGATTTCTCTGAAAGAATGTCCTTCTGTTTTTATGTACGCAGTGACTACATCACCAAAATCTTCGAGTCGTGTCACACAGGAGTCGTAAAGACAAGTTCGCTATTACTCCTGAACGTCCTTGAAGGGTGATTGCTTGATATACACACAAGGTGCTACATTTTAGGAGGGACGTTTGTCGGTACGCTTCTCTTCCAATTATAGAAATCTTATCGCTAGATATAAAAATGTTAAAATATTCAAAAAAAAAAAAAATCTTCTCGACGTCATATTTTCCAACCTCACTTCATCAGATAAATGCCTATATACTTTTTTTTTTCTTTTTTAAATAGAAAAATATGCCGATTAAAATATCGTTTACGGGGTATTTTAATAATATATAAATATATTAATTAATTTTTTAAAAAATTAAAAGTTTTAATTAGTTAGAAGTAAAAAAAACAAATCGATGTTTTAAATTAAATATTCCCATCACGCCCATAATCACTTAAGAAAACAGAAGTGAATGAGAGTAAATGACTTGAATGATTCTTTACATGATGATATTCCATTTACAATAATCTGAGTGACTTTTACAAATGGTCATCGATGTCAAAGTAAAGCGTGCATCTAGGAAAAGAGCATGTGATTACACTAAGTGGTAATCAGTAAAAGGAAAGACAANATAATTTTCTCTTATAATCTGTAGGTTTTAATGTAGGTCTCTGTATCTACCATTCCTTTGCTTTCTATTAATTAACAGCTTTACTGTAATTGCTCTCTACCAAATTGATTGTTCCTGTTCATTTACTGTTTATCGTATTAATGCATTGCTTTCTTCTACAATAATCTTTTCTGCAAATTGTTTACTTGTTTCCTTAAAATCCGTCTTATTTCTCGTTAACTAACTACAGTTTAATACCACGCCCAAAAATATTTATCGTTTCTATTGCTTTTCAACAATAAAAATTATACTTATATTAAAGTAATTCTTAGTATAATGCATTCATTTCTTTATAATTTATCTTCTTCCAGCTGGATTCTGTGGAAGAATCTAAAGAAGGAAACGAATGAGTAGAGAAGGAAGGGAGTAACTGAATAGCGAAAGATTCAGTTCCTCCCTTATAAAAACTTAATTCCTACTAAATTATAACATTCTCTTAATTACTATTAATGCATTATTTTCTTTATTCATTCTTAGATTCTTCCACAGAATTGAAACAGATAGAGAAGAAGGGAGGAGTCGAGTAACTTCACTACTCAGTTCCTCCCTTATAAAGTCTTAATTTTGTATTAAATTATAATATTTTCTAACCAAAGTATCTT